ATTGGCAACCCTACCCGTGGGTCACCGAGCCCAGGCCTGGCATATCGTCCTGTTTGTAAGCGTATCAAGCTCCCGCTGTTTGTCCCCACGGCTCGGCCTCCCTGCTGGCTCGTCGCCTCCATCCCCCGCAAAGAGAATCTGCTCCAAAGGCCACGTTGGGACTTTGCTGGCCTCGCTTTGAGCTTTAAAAATCCCCCCCCGGCCCCTGCCAGAAGCCCATTCTGCGGATGCTTTTGAGATGCTTCTCCCGGCAGCAGGGCGGGTCCTGAACCAGGGCGCTAATTCGAGCCTCTTCCCTCTATTTTTTCCTGGGCCACGTACGTTATTTATTTGATATGGACATAGCCTGCCGGCGCGTGCCTCCCCGTGCTTGTGCCCAGCCTCCAGGGCATGCTTCAGCTATAACAGCCCGAGTGGCGCTGTTTGTCCTGCTTGTGCTTCGGCGCGAGAATGTGGACCTGGCTAGTGGGGTGAGCCCGGGAGAGCGGATTTTTTGGTCTGGAAGGAGGCATTGCTCTGGATCTCCCCTCTGGGAAGAGAGCTCCGCTGAGTCAACCCCTGGGTTCCCCGCAGAGCCGTGTCGCGGCTGCCCTGCCGGCGGGAGGAGTGTTGGATCAACATCCTCTCCCCAAAGCTGGGCAGAGGCGTGTCCGCAGGCAGGAGAAAGCGGGGCGCTCTCCAGAGCTCTGGGCGCCCAATTGTCTTTGTTTGATGGTTCGCTTAGGAGTTGCTGTAGAGTAAGGCTGGGGACCGGCCGGTTTGGTGAGGGTGTACGGAGCCATTGAGAGCCACGCCGGGGCTGGGCATCTCTCCCTGGGAAAATCTTGATCATTCTTCCCGGCCCAAGATCTTAGACTCCTGGGACAGAAGGACATTTAACCCTTGATGTCCCCGGACCTGTTCAGTGGGCTGAGCTTGCTTTCGACTGAACTTAACCCGGCTACATCTGCACAAAAAACTAACAAGGGACCGAAGGCGAAAAATGAATAATGCTGTGTAGAATGTATAAGAATTTGTGGCCTGACCCAAAGCCCACTGAAATCGAAAAAAGACTTCACCGCGCTCGCTTTCATAGAATCATAGAATATCAGGGTTGGAGGGGACCTCAGGAGGTCATCTAGTCCAACCCCCTGCTCAAAGCAGGACCAATCCCCAACTAAATCATCCCAGCCAGGGCTTTGTCAAGCCTGACCTTAAAAACCTCTAAGGATGGAGATTCCTCCACCTCCCTAGGTAAGCCATTCCAGTGCTTCACCACCCTCCTAGTGAAAAAGTTTTTCCTAATATCCAACCTAAACCTCCCGCACCGCAACTTGAGACCATTACTCCTTGTTCTGTAATCAGGTACCACTGAGAACAGTCTAGATCCATCCTCTTTGGAACCCCCTTTCAGGTAGTTGAAAGCAGCTATCAAATCCCCCCTCACTCTTCTCTTCTGCAGACTAAACAAGCCCAGTTCCCTCAGCCTCTCCTCATAAGTCATGTGCGCCAGCCCCCTGATCATTTTTGTTGCCCTCTGCTGGACTCTTTCCAATTTTTCCACATCCTTTTTGTAGTGTGGGGCCCAAAACTGGACACAGTACTCCAGATGAGGCCTCACCAATGTCAAATAGAGGGGAATGATCACGTCCCTCGAGCTGCTGGCAATGCCCCTACTTATACAAGTAGGATCAAACCCCCCCATCCATCAACCCCCACCATCTCAAACTGTGTCTTCCTAGGTTTGTATGTCCCACTCTGTACAGAGAGGACTTTTTGCCATCCTTAATCAAGAAATAGTATGCCCGTTGCCCATAGTGTTGCTGCGTGGGCACATGGGTGCAGACACAATGTGTGGGAGTTGCTGTGTGTGTGTGTCTGTCATTCCATGGATTTGCATGGGCAGACACCTGTCGTATGCATGTTGCTTTGTGTTTGCGTGGCTCGCTGTGCGCTTGTGGCAGGGGTATTGCTGTGATTTTGTGCGTGCGCACACTTTGCGGTGCTGTCGCTTGCGGCGGGGTCCCTGTGCGATTGCACGGCTGTTGCTGTGTTTGTGTGTGCATGTTGTTTGGGGATTGTGGACTGGGATGTGCATTGCACGGGTGTTGCTCTGGGGTGTCAGGCTGTGTGTGTGTGCGAGCACGTGCTGCATGGTGGTTGTGCTCTGTGTGTGTGTGTCCATGTTGTGTGGAGGTTACCGTTTTTGGACAGGAGCATAGGGGCTGGTTAGCCTCCCTCCTGTGGTACGCCTGGCTCTGTTGTGGAAGTGTTTGCTTGCAGCTCAGAGCGTTCTGATTTCACGCTGTCGCATGAAGCCGTCTTCCGGCTCTGAGTCAGGCCTCTGGCTTGCGGCCAGAGGAGAGTCACTTTTTCCTCTAAAAAGAAAGCGTTTAATGTTGCCTCCCTGGCCTTCCAGGAAACCTCACTGGGGATCTGGGGAAACAAATGGAGAGACTCCAACGGGGAGAGAGGGGCCTTTCGGCAGGAGGGCGGAGTGGGGAAATAGATGGCTTGCTCTGCTATTCCGTGCCACACTCGTAGTGCCACGGCAGCGCCTCTGATACGAGACGACATTCTCCTGGCACCTCATGTTCCCCAACTCCCTGCCTTCGCCCAGGGCTGCAGAGCCCCGGCAGCCCTGGAGCAGAGAGCAGTTTCAACTTAAGGCTGGGGGACCCGTTGGAAAAACCTGAAAGTCACCTGGAGGACGGCAGCCGGCCCTGCACTTTGCAGAGCCCCCATGTGCCAGCAGGAGGGACCAGGCTGTGAGGTTGCTCCCACGCCGGGATCAGGCCCGGATGGGATCTGCAGAGCTAGGGTGGGCTGTAGGGCCCGCAAGAGGGTGGGGTCCAAAGCGTCTGGTTGCTTCGCTTGGGCGTGAGGTCAGCTGGGGCAAACGGAGCATGATGGAGTCTCCCAAACTGAACAGCCGACTCAGCGTAGCCCCGTGGCGAGGCGATGGCGTCTGACTTACGGTGTCGCCCCATCGCCGCTTCAGTCCAGCCCTGCCGGGGCTCGGTCATTGAGCGCACGGTGCAGAATGGAGCAGGCTGTTTCCTGCAGGCAGGGAGCCCGGGTCTTGTCCCGCAGTGGGACCACATTGGGCTTGTGACGCTGCGTCGTGGCGGAAACGTGGTCACAAGAGCAGTGTCCGGGGTCACAAATGTCTCGGTCTGAAATGCTGCTGGGTGGGCTGGCCCCAGGAGAGGCTCCGATTCTCTGGGGAGGAGCAAGGGAGGGAGAGCTCCATTAAATGGATTTAAAACTGGCCAACTGACAGGTCTCCAAATGTAACCGTGAAAGGGGAATCATCTTCCAGCTGAGCCCTGAGACCCAGTGCCCCGTGGGGCTAAAGCCAGGAGCCCTGGTGCCCTCCGGGGCTAAAGCTGGGAGACTAGAGCCCTGGCGCTCCTTGGGGCAGAAACCCTGACCCCCCCATCTTGCAGGGCTAAATCCCCGAATCCCCCTGCCCTGTACGGCTAAAGCCAGGCAGCAGCCCGGAGCCCCAAGCCCCCCCTCCCCCCTCCGCCAGTGGTTGAAGCCTGGGTCCTCGAGCCCCCCGCCCCATGGGGCAGAAGCCCCAAGCCCTCAGCCCTGTAGGGAAAAAGCCCCCATCTCCGCAAGGCTGAAGCCTGAACTCCCATCCAGTGGCTAGAGTCCTGAGTCCCCCTCTCCCTGAGCCCCACACCCTGCATGTCTAAAACCCAAGCCCCTCGCCCTCCGGTGGCTGAAGCCCAGAGGCCCCCCTGCTCGGCCCTGGAATTTTTATAGCATATTGGGGGGGGGGCCTCAGAAAGAAAACCCCCAAGAACTCCTGACCTAGCTGACAAATATCCAATGGCTGGAAATTGAAGCTAGACAAATCCAGACTGGAAATAAGGCGTACATGTTACCAGTGGGAGTAATTCACCATTGGTACAGTTTACCACGGGGTCTGGTGGATTTGCCATCCCTGGCTATTTTAAAATCAAGGTTGGATTTTAAAAACCAACCACCTCCTTTTGAGCTAGAGCGGATTATTTCAGGGGAGTTCTCTGGCCGGTGTTATCCAGGAGGTCAGACTAGATGATCACAATGGTCCTTTCTGGCCTGGAATCTAAGAAGCCAGCCAGCCATCCCCCTTGTTTGTGTGAGAAGTGAAGCAGCCTTCCCAGGGGAGCAGTGGGGGCTGGCTTCAAGACTGAGCGCGATAAGTGTATGGAGGGGCTGGTATGATGACACTGCCGACAATGGCATGTAGCCGATCTTCGACTGCTACCAGCAAATATCCCCAATGGCCGGTGATGGGACACACTAGATGGGGAGGGCTCTGAGTTACTACAGAGAATTCTTTCCCAGGTGTCTGGCTATGGGGTCTTGCCCACATACTCAGGGTGTGGCTGATCACCAAATTTAGGGTCGGGAAGGAATTTCCCCCCCGGGTCAGATTGGCAGAGACCCTGGGGGGGTTTTGCCTTCTCCTGCAGCGTGGGGCGCGGGTCACTTGCAGGTTTAAACGGTGGATTCTCTGTAACTTGAAGTCGTTGAGACTTCAGTAACTCAGCCAGAACTCAGGGGTCTCTTGCAGGAGTGGGTGCGTGAGGTTCTGTGGCCTGTGATGTGCAGGGCGCCTGGGGGTCTGGGGCTCCTTTCCAGAGTCACGCAGGGCCGTACGCCTCACACAGCCCAGGATCCAGTTTGCACCTTGCGGGAGAGCTCACATTAACGCTGTATCGATCCAGCCTACAGAGCATCCTGGGCTTTCAGCGCAGCGAAAGCAGGTTTCCAGTAACGTCTCAGTAGACACCGTCTCCTCTGGCCACGTTAGCCACAGAGGACACAGCGCCGGCGTCTCTGCAGGAGAGCGGTGGGAATGTGGTGTGTATTTCGCGGGGAGGCTGAGTGCTTGGCAGCCGGCTGACAGGGCCCTTAGCTCATTGTTTGAGCGTTGAAGCCATTTGTGCTTAATGGGAGCCATTAGCTCGCTCTCCCGCCCCGAGCGAACCGTTGATCTCCTTTGTTCTCTTCTCCCCATGCAGAGCTCGGGCACACCCAGGGGCCGCTGGACGGGAGCCTCTATGCCAAGGTGAAGAAGAAAGACTCCCTCCACGGCAGCACCGGCGCCGTCAACGCCAGCCGCGCCCCCCTCTCCGCGGCGCCCAACCACCTCGAGCACACGCTCTCCGTCAGCAGCGACTCGGGCAACTCCACCGCTACCGACAAGACTGACGAGCAGGCGGCGCCCAGCGGCGGCCCCCCGGCGCTGACCCCCGAGGAGAAGCGAGAGCTCGAGCGCCTCTTGAGCGGCTTCGGCTTGGAGAGCGAAGCCCCCATGCACAACCGCCACCCCGGGGCGGCGCCGGCCGGCGGCTCCGCCCTCACGGGGCGCCATGTGGTGCCGGCCCAGGTGCACGTCAACGGGAGCGCCGCCGCCCTGGTGGCCGAGCGGGAGACGGACATCCTGGACGACGACCTGCCCAACCAGGACGGGCACAGCGTCGGCAGCCTGGGCACCCTCTCCTCCTGCGACGGCACCACCAACGCCAGCAAGGTCGGCTACCAGGAGGTGCCCCGGATGGAGAGCCTCTCCTCCCTGCCCAACGGCCCGTCCAGCTTCGACGGCGCGGACAAGCTGCACAAGGAGGGGCTGTATGACTCAGAGCCGCTGATCAATGGGGGGTACCCCTACAACAACCAGAATACGCTGCGGAGCATGATGGGGCGACACCCCCAGCCCCCGCTGAGCCAGATCCGGCCCTCGGTGTCTGCTCAGGAGAATCTGTCCGACTACCGGCAGCAGCAACCCGGCTTCCCTGAGCCCGGCTGGCTGCTGCCCCGGCCGCCGGCCGCCACGCAGCCCTACCTGTACGGCTTTGACTCCAACGACATGTACCGCTCTCAGTCCTACCCAGCCGCCGAGCCGGGCCTCCAGCTCCCCCAGGCGCCGGCTCGGAGCACCAGCAGCCGGGAGGCCGTGCAGAGGGGCCTCAACGCCTGGCAGCAGCAGGGCGGCAGCAGCGGCGGGAGCAGGCCACCCTCCCGCCAGCAAGACGGCGGCCTGGAAAGCCAAAGCCCTAGCGTCTCCAGTTCGAGCCCCCAGCCCAGCCCCTTGCAGGTGGCCCCCCCTCCGAGCCACAGCATCCCTGAGTTCCCCCAGGTGGCCTCCCCGAAGGAGATCGAGCAGTCGATAGAAGCGCTGAACATGCTCATGCTGGACCTGGACCCGTCCGTCTCGACGATGCACAAGTCCCAGAGCGTCCCCGTGGCCTCCACAGAGGACCAGCCCGGCCCGGTGGTCTCCTCTCTGTCTGCCCAGCCAGTGTTGGGCCTTCCTAGCCAAGCAGCCCCTCAGGTGACCCAGCCAAGACCCAGCAACGCCTTCGGAGCCATGCCAGCGAGCGTGTCCCACAACACCATGGGCACTGCTGTCACCCAGCCCCCACCGGCTTCTGAACTGCTGGCCAAAGCCTATCTGCCAGGTCCGCCGGGCCGGGGCGCTGGCGAGCCAGAGTACATGGGGCAGGATTTTGGGGTGTCCTACTCACCCTACGGCTATCAGAACCAGCAGCCACCTGTGCCGCAGACAAGGAGCTACAGCCGCCCCCCGGGAAGCCCCCCAGCCTCTCCCATCCCTCTGGCAACAGCTTACAGCCCCGTGAGGCCTCAGCAGCCCCTGATCATGTCGCCCCCGTCCCCCACAGCGACAGCCCAAGCCCAGATGCCCCCGAAGGGAGCGGAGCATCACCATGAGCCTGCCAGACCCTCGGAAGAAGAGCCCTTGAACCTGGAAGGGCTGGTGGCCCACAGAGTAGCAGGTAAGAGGCTTTGATTTGCGGTGCCACCTCTGGCTGGCCGTCACCCCAGGGCCAGGCTGCGTTTGTCCTAGACTGTTGGGTGAGGGCGGGTTATGGGAGCCCCTTCTGCAGAGAGCAGGCGGGGGGCCTGCGTGCCCAGCTCTTGTGGCTGGGTCCACAAGCAGAATGGAGCCACAAACGCACCCACGAGGCTCCGGCTGTGTGGGAGTCCCACTGGGATGGAGACGCCCGTGCCCCATGGCCCAGCCTGACTCCAGGCTTCCCTGGAAACCAGGCCCTCTGGGCCCCTAACATACCAGGGGAATCCTCTCCATCCTCGCTCTTGGGAAGAGGCAGCCCAGCCCCCCTCCGCAGCGAGCGGTGCCCAGGAGAGGAGAATCGGGGCCTGTCCCTGGGGACGGGGTCGGGCCCGGGAAGCACGCCCGGGGGGCCAGAGGGAGAAAGGGGTGGGAGTTGTGGGAAGGGCGAGACGAAACGCAGATGCACAGGACAGGAGAGAGCTCAGGGAAGCGTTAAACATCCCACATCCCGTTCCCAGAGGCCCCTCTCCGTGCACACGGGGTCGTGACTGGAGGGGAGCCGTCTCCCACGCGGCCTCGCTGGCCAGGCGCGATCACGGCCCTGCCGCTGGGCAGTGCCCAGCTGGTGAGGCGGGGGACAGCGTGAGCAGTGCGGCTGAGCTCAGGGCTAGGGAGCGGACTTCTCCGTGGCTGCGTTAGTTACTCCGTGCGCCCAGCGGCACGGGAAAGAGGGCCTGGCAGCCTTTGGCGGGAGAGCCTGCTCTGGTGAGATGTCCAGTCTGGCTTCGCCTTCCCGAGAGCTCTGGCTGGATCAGCGCTGGCGGTTCCGGGTGTGCCAGACTGCCCTGCTGCCCCGTTGGCTGGCGAGCGGCGGGGGCTGGGGCTGGCTCCAGGACCGGAGCGGCATGCAGAGGTGTGTCGTGGCTGCAGACGATGATCTCTTCCAGCTGTCCTCCTGCTCCCTCTGCTGCTCCTCTCTCTGCAGCCAAAGGGAAATTGCCCCTGCTTCCTGTGCGGGGAGCTGCTGGGAGCAGACTGATCAGTCCGGCCTGGGAGCAGGAAGGAGGCAGGAGAAAAGAGGAGAGGCCAGCACCTTGTAAAAGCAGAGAACAGTGCGTTAGCCCCACTGCCCCCGGTGATGGATTTTCAAAGGGGTTCAGGGGCCAGGTTTTGCCTGCGGGGTGCATGGCTCCGATGTGGGAGGCCTAGCCGTAGCTCCATTGGGAGACGTCGGTTGGAATGACTGGACTGGACTCCACTTTAGATATCCAGCGATAGCCCCTAGCGCCCAAAGCAGTTATGCTCATTGTGGGACCTTCCTGCTTGTGCTAGGTGCTGTACTTACGTGACCTCCATTATCACAGACTCTGAGTACCCCACGATCTTGAGGGTATTTATCCTCCCAACCCCCCTTTACGGCAGGGCAGTGCCGTCACACCCAGTGTACAAATGGGGAACAGAGACACAGAGAGGATAAGTGACTTGCCCAAGGCCGCATAGAGAGTCTGTAGCGGAGCAGGAGATTGACCCCTGGTCTCCAGGTCACAGGTCAGCAGCCTAGCCATTGTCCAAAGCCCGCGCACTAGGACTGCTGGGCTAGTAAGTTACAGTCCCTGCCCCATGCTCCAGCGCCCTGGCTTTCCTTTCTTAGCCCTACAGCCACAGGCACGGGAGGAGCTGTGATGTTCTGAGCACGCTGGCTCTGTTCTGAACAGGCAGGAGAATAGAAAGTGTCACACCCCTCTGACAACACATTCAAGGGGGCATGTCTACAGGAAGTGCTTCAAACTGTCCATTCCTCCTCGGAGCTTGGATCTGCACTGGGGAAACAAACGGGATGACGGGGGGCATATTTAGAACCAGGTCTGTCATTGATCCTCATGCTTCAGGGCATATGACCCCCAGTTGGGGTCAGGAGGTAACTTCCCCATGGGATAGTGCAGCACAGTTAGGTGCGATGTAGGTCATTGACCAGTGGGACCATTCCAGCGAGGCATTTTTACCGTGCGCAGGGTGCATGGACGGACTAACGAACTGGCCTCATCTCTTTGGGACTCCGGTCGCCCCTGGCCTAACTTCAGAGCTCAGGCCCCAGCCTGGGAAGCAGGAAGCCAAGTCCCCCTTGGCCCGACGGGCCTGAGGAATAAATCTTTGGCTTCGGGGCATGCACAGTGCCTGGCTCCGTCAGCGCACGCTGGGGAATGGAGTGGCCGCCCTGCCTTCCTCTCCGTGATTGTGGCGCAGGTTTTTCATTGCCCGTCCGTGGGAATGCCGGGGCCGCGATCCAGCCTGCAGTTCCAGGGCTTGGCAGGGCGGGGTTTGTTCCAGCCAGCGTCTCGGCCTAGAAACACGAAAGGCATTAGAGGGAGGGAACAGCGCTCAGTTGCAAAACACCTCCCCCCCTCCCGCACACCCAGGCTGAGTCGCTGCTCTCTGCGGAAGGAGGGAGCCAGGTCCTGGCAGGTTGGTGCCAGTGCAGATTGTGGGGAAAGTTGGCTGCTGGATTGGAGAGAAAGGGGCCCCTGAAGCTGTCATGCTTAGCATCACGCCCTGAGCAATGGGCTTGGGTTACCCCTGCTCAAGGACTCAGTGACTAACCCTTTAATGCCCTGAGAATACCCCTCCCCCACCACAGACCCCCTCCCCCTTCATCCCACTCCAAGCTGCAGGGAAATCATTGTGCGAAAACTGGTTATTAAGAGATTTTTAAAAAACCAAAACCAACCCTGGCGTCTGTGATAATTTCTGCAGCCCCTTACATCCCAGAGCCTTTCCCCGGCTACTAAACAGCTAGTGCATTCAAACCACTTCGCCCAGCCCCGAAATGCAGCCACCTCTGACGTGGAGCGTGGTAGCTGCTTCACAGCGCCCAGCCACAAGGTGTCATAGGTTAGGACAGGAGAGGAGGCCGCAAACCATTGCTGGGAGTTGAAGCAGCAGGGTAATTTATGGGCCGCTTTGGTCAGGACATCGGGGCTCAGATCCTGACTTCACCAAAACAACATTTCGAGGTGTTTAACGGCCGCCTGCGGTTAGGACTTGGTTGTTATGTGCCACCTCCAACAGCACCAGCCAGGGGCCCTGGGTTTAGGACTGAGTCCCAGGGAAGAGCCCCCCACATTGAGTCACCCTGCGTCGGCCCGGATTCTCCTCTGATCTGAGTGCCGCCCGGGCCAGATGCTGCTTGGTGGTGGGATGCGGTTCTCTGCCTGTCCGAGGAGGCGAGGGAGGGACCGGGGCGAGGCTGGGAGCTGTCCCTGGAGCAGGGCCATATGTCGCAATGGGAGGCTCGTGGCCAGTCCCCGGGAAGAATAGCTCAGCACACAGAGCAGCGCGGCGTGTTTACATCAGGGGAGAACAAGGTGTCCTGAAAGCAGAGCTGGCAGCACGTGGCGTGAGTCAGAGCGCAGCCTGGAAGCGGGAGCTGTGGAGGCTGCGGGAGAGCAGATAGGAGGTGTCGGCTGCTGGCACGGGGAGGGGGTTATTTATGGCCCTCGCTGCTATAAGTTGCCTGTTTGTCCCCAGGCAAGTATGTGGGGAATTTCACACAACATCCTCCTCCCTGGGACTTGCAATCATGACAACTCCAATTTCCTAGGGCTGGCTGGGGCTGGGGGTGCCACAGTGAGGATTTCACAGGAGCGGGGATGGATTTCAGCAGCCCCCGCCCAGAGAGACCCTGCTGCATGAGCCAGCGGGGCTGCACCGTAGACCCCTCAATAAGAGTTTGTTCATTACCGATGGGCTGATCCTCTAACATAAGAACGGCCAGACTGGGTCAGACCAAAGGTCCCTCTAGCCCAGTGTCCTGTCTGTGACAGTGGCCAATGCCAGGTGCCCCAGAAGGAATGAACAGAACAGGGAATCAGCAAGTGATCCATCCCCTGTCGCCCACTCCCAGCCACTGGGCTAGGGACACTATCCCTGCCCATCCCTCGCACCCAAAGTGGCTGATGCGCTGGGCCGGATTCTCCACTGCCCTGTGTGGTCGTTTACATGAGGGGTGTAAGATGCTCCAATTCTCCACTTGCCAGCACCGGGGGGGCAGGTGGCATTTTACACTTGCCGTATGCTCAGGCCGATTGGCTTTCTGACCTCTGTCCTGGCGGGCTGGACTCTGGGTCAGAGCCGGGCCCTCCCGCGGGTTCTCCAGCCCTTCAGTCCATTCCCCGGGTCTCCCTCGGGGAGCGATCTCAGCCCTCTCCCCATTGGGTCCACGCAGATGCTGGCTGTTCCCTGCCCCTCCCCTCCATCCTTCCAGTAACGCCCGTGGGCCCTGTGACTTCCTCGCTGAGCTCCGCCAAAGCGTGTGACGATGGAGGGGGGAGCTCCCTCGGGAAGCCGGGTTCCCTCCCCGGGGTTGCGGGCGGGGGTCGCTTGGATTGGCAGCACCACTCACCCAGGTAGCAGAGCTGGGCCGTGGCAGCCCTGGGTCAGATAACATAACATGCCCCAGACTCAGTGCTCCCGAGTCCAAGATCCCGCCAATCACACCTCCGGGGTCTGTTCCTAGCCTCGTGCATGCAGCCACCTCTGGGCCGGGCCCCCCCTCGTGTTTGCTGTTCGGCGTCTATTGAAGGGAGGCATCGGTCCATTTAATTCTTCAGTTTTCCCGGAGAACAAAATTCAGCCCAGACACGGCGGCCGCACCATTCACCAAGCCGTCCCGACCCCTTTCCTTCCCTTCTGGGGTGAGAGAGACGGGTCCCTGTTCCGGGGCGGCAGGGACCTCCAGTGCGTACAGTCCCCTGCTGCCCCCTCTGCTCCCAGCGTCTCTGGGCTCGGCGACCATTCAACTCAGGGTCCCAACTAATCTTTTCTCGTGTTTTTTTTTTCCTGTCTCCATTGTGGTGTTTGTCCCGTCTGTCTCTCTCCATGGCGGACTGTGTCTCCTCCCTGGCTGACCTCCTCCCACTCCTGCGCCCCTTCCCCCCCTCCACCTGCCCTGTCAGAGTACAACGCCAAACTCCGGGGCATCCG